GGTGTTTGAAAGTGTGTGTTATTTTCAGAATGGCCAAATGTCACTTGAATCCAATTAAGGCAAATTACATAGAGGTGCCGAGAGTAAAATCTCTACAAAATATGTTGTTGTTGTTAGCTGTCCTGAGTCAGCCCCCAACTGATGGCAGCCCCACGCACAACAAGATAGGATCATTATGAGCCATAGAGGTTTTTTTTTATTATTATTTTTTTTATTGGCTGACTTTCTGGAGTCAATTGCCAGGCTTTTTTATTTTCCTAGCACATAACAACAACAACAACAACAGTTCATCTTAGTCTGGAAGCTCCACAGAAACCTGTTCAGCATGACAGCAACATGTAGGCTTCCCCTGACAGGTGGTGGCTTTGCTCGAGGTGCATTGAACCAGGGTCCTACCTGACATGTGAGAATTCTACCCCTCAACCACCACTGCCCTCCTACAAAGTATGGAAGGGGCCTTAGAGGTTATCCAGGCTAAAGATAAAACTTCTAAAAATCTACTCAAAGTGCCAATTGTTGTTTTTTTGTTTTGTTTTGTTTTAGGCAGAATGATTTCATGGTAGACTTAGAAACATATCCCAAACTCTGCCGTACACATCTGATACAGACAAGGTCAGAGTTGATAGAAAACCCAGACCAAACCCGTTGCCTTCAAGTTGATTCCGACTCACAGCACCCCTAGAGGACAGAGTAGAACAGCCCATAGGGTTTTCAGGGCTGTCAATCCTTATGGAAGCTGACTGCTACATCTTTCTCCCTTGGAGCAGCTGGTAGCTTCAAACTGTCAACCTTTCAGGTAGCAGTCAAACAGCTTAACTACTGTGCCAACAGGGTTCCTTAGAGCTGATGGGGGGGAAAAATGTCACTGCTGTCGAGTCAATTCAACTCATAGCGACCCCTCCTTGAGTTTCCAAGGCGGTATCTCTAAGGATAGTAGATTACCCAGTCTTCCTTCTAGGAGTGGCTGGTGGGTTTGAACCGCCAACCTTCTGGTTAGCAGTCAAGTGCCTTAGGCACTAGGCCACCAGAGCTCCCAGAGCTGATAAACAGCTACTCAGATCTCTTCCTGAGGGCTCAAATGTATAACCTGGCTGCATTCGCGTGTTTGGGAGCAGCACATCCTTCCACTTTCCCATCAATGAGAAACAAAGGAGGGGGCGAATTTCTTTGCTTTCCAAAAAAAGAGATATCCATCCATCAGAAACATACTAGAAAATTAATATATCAGATGAGCATAAAGCCCTGGTGAAGCCAGTCACTTCCCCCAGCCAGCTGTAATGCACCAGAGAGTCTGTGTCTGCATTGTTAATAACTGTAGTGTCCAAATTGGCAGGGGGAGAGGCCCCACAGCCAGCAGTTCCAGGTAGACCAGATGTCTTGAAGGGTGTCTGTCTCTCTACAAGGCAGCATCATGTCTATTTCCTGTTGTTTTCACTATCAAGTAATTAGCTATTTGGTGGCTGGAAAAATTCCTGATGAATAGGGTTATCTTTTGAAAAAAAAGTAAGAACGTCCCTACTGTTCTGTCCTCAAAAGGTAACTTTGCAAAAGACATTTTCTAAAGGCGTTGTTCATCCTCCTTTTCCCATCTGATCCAGAGCTGGTTTTGTAGTGATGAGGACTTTTGGTTGGGGCGGGGTAGACAGGGTGAAGGAAAAAAGTAACTGGAGAATCTGGATGGGCCCTCAACGCTATCATTAGCAATTCAAAGGACATGCACATAGCAAATGACGCTGGGGAAGGAAGAATGTGTGTGTGGGGGAGTGGGACAAAGATTAGCCAAGAAGTCAGGGACAGGGTAGCGCTAACCACTAACAGGGGATTATCCAACCAATCTGGATTTGATTGAGTATCTAACGAATATACAATTTGTCTATTCAACAAGTATTTATTACCAAAAAATACCAAATCACTGCCATTGAGTCGGACCCGACTCATAGTGACCCCTCCTTGGGTTTCCAAGGTGGTATCACTACGGAAGTAGATTGCCCAACCTTCCTTCCAAGGAGTGGCTGGTGGATTTGAACCTCCAGCCTTCTGGTCAGCAGTCAATTGTATTAGGCACTATTAAGGTCCTCCTATATCCAAGAAAAGGAGCTCTGTTGGCAGTGTGGTTAAAGGATGAGGCTGCTAACCAAAAGGTTGGCGGTTCGAACTCATTAGGTGTGCTCTTTGGGAGAAAGGTGAGGCAGTCTGCTTCTGGAAAGATTGACAGCATTGGAAACCCTATGGGGCACTTCTATTCTGTCCTCTAGGGTTTCAATGAGTTGGATTCCATTTGATTGCTGGCAGTGAGTTTGGTTGTTTTTCTACATCGAAGGAAAGGAGCATTGGTGGTATAGTGGTTAAGCCTTTGGCTCCTAACTGATAGGTTGCTGGTTGGATCCCACCCAGTATATCTGTAGGAGAAAGACCAGGTGATCTGCTCCGTAAAGGTGACAGCCCAGTAAACCCTATGGGGCTGTTCTCCTCTGCTACATGGGGTCGCTATGAGTCGAGATTGACTCAACGGCACCCAACAACAACACGTGCAAGGAACTCCTGGCATTTGAGACCTGTCAGTAAAATCCATCCTGTCCTTTTGGAGCTTTGATTTCAGTGGCTGAATCAGAGAAGAACCAATAAACATAAAAACAAACTGTGTGGGTTGTTGGAGATGATGAGTGCTATGGGAACAGCACAAAACAGAGCAGTTCATGGGGGACATGCAGTTTCAAATAGGCTTTCTGGAAAGGTGCTTTTTGGAGGGGACATTTGTGAAAAGACTTGATGGGCTAAAGGTGCTGGCCATGCAAAATATCTGAAGGAAGAGAGTTCCAGGCAGAGGGAACAGACATTGCAAAGAGCCTAAGGTGGGAGCGTATCCGCCCAGTTTGATGACCAGCCAGGAGGCGAGTGTTGCCGGAGTAGGGTGGGATGCTGGAGTAGGTTGGGACAGGGAGGAATGGATAGGGTCAGAGAGGTCAAGGGCAGGGGTAACCAAGGCCTTGTTGATTGTTGTAGGGCTACAGCTATAGCTCTCAGGAGAATGGACAGCTTTTTCAAAGCTCGGACCCAGCAAGGAAGCTTATTGGAGCCCCGTTTAAAAACTCTCTCTTTGTCTAGTACATTGAGAATAGATTGTGCCATAAAAATAAAAGATTTCTCTTTTCCAAACACGTGCCTTACTTATATGACAGGGTTGCTATGAGACTCAAATGCAAAAGTGCTTTAAAAATGTGAAAGCACCGTGCAGACCCAAATGATAATTATTCTACACAAACAATAGAGGGTTCATGAGCCAAGGTCCCCCTGGGCTCCCCTGATCCATGAAATTATAGTTTGTCTACAAGAAGCTAAAGGAACATTGATTCCATTTACTCCAAAAAGAAAAAAGAAAAAAATAAATAAAAAAGGTAAGCTTTGTACTCGTGAGCTTTAAATCATTTAGATTTTGCAGCTTGCTAATTATCTTATGCTTAATTTTTGAAAGAATAGTTTTTTTTTCTTTTTTTCCCCTTTTAAACTTGGAAGTACCTGGCTTGAATACTGAGGACTTGAAAGCCAGCAGCAGAGCTGGAGAGGGGTACAGGCCTGGGGACTTCAGACCCACTCTCCTCTGACGGTCCCCTCCTCCAGCATTTCCAGACGGCGTCTTTTCTTGGCGGTGGTCCTGCTGGCCAGTGAACACTGCTGGGTGGGAGACACATTTTGGGAGAGCAGCTGACCTTCAGAGAGGCTTGGGGAAAATTTGCAAGGATTTTGGAGAAAAGGCCCTGAGAGTCCAAGAGACAGAAGAGGGGCTTCCCGGGAGATCGAACTGAATTCATGAAGACAGGGGGCTGTCCAAGAGAATTCCGTCAAAGAGGGGGCTAGGAGTGCTAAATGGCTGCAAGTTGGAGTTTACTCTGCTTAAGGTGAGTGTTTACGTTTCTGCGTTTTGGTTTTTCAGGCAAGGAGTGTTTTTGTGTTTTGTTTGTTTCCTCCTTCACCATATGGAAAAAGCAGCTAGCTCTGCGGGCCAGAGCCCATTCTCATCCCTTCTCGTTCTTTACGTCTGAGCCCCATTCAAATGAGTCCCCCC